GCCAGAAAGTTGAGGCCATATTTCCAGTCACACCCAATTATCGTTCTCACAGATCAACCTCTCAGGCAGATTTTGCAGAAACTAGAGTGCTCTGGAAGATTAATCAAGTGGGCAGTAGAACTGGGGGAGTTTGAGATAACATTTCAGCAGAGATCGGCCATCCGAGCTCAAGCATTAGCAGATTTTATTGTCGAATGTACTCTATGTCCTTCAACCTCTAATCCAGAGCCCAATGACTGGACCTTATATGTTGACAGAGCATCTAGTAGCAAGGGTTCAGGGGCTGGCGCTCTCTTGATTGGTCCAGACGGATACCGAAGCGAACATGCCCTAAAGTTCAACTTTGATGCGACAAATAACATTGCTGAGTATGAAGCTCTGATACTTGGTCTACAGCTAGCATTGGAGTTGAAAATCAGTGCAATTCAAGTATATAGTGACTCCCAGTTGGTGGTAAACCAAATCAACTCAATCTGCGAAGTTGTTGATCCTGTGATGGTGAAGTATGTAGCCTTGGTGGCCGAGCTGAAGTGCAAATTCCAGAAATTCTGTCTAAGAAAAATCCCCCGAACCGAGAATGAACAGGTAGATTCGCTCTTCAAGTTTGCCTCTGACAGCTCTTTAAGTTCTAGATCTGTTTTTGTCGAGGTCCTAGATGAACCAAGCTTCATGAAGCCTTGGGTGATGGAGATTAGCACAAACCCTGACACGCCGAGCTGGACTGATTCAATCATCTCCTTTTTGCGAGATGGGATAGCACCTGAGGATAGGCATGAGGCAATGAAGTTGAGAAAGAAAGCATCTCTATATACACTCGTTGATGGGGTCCTATATAAGAGATCTTTCTCACTTCCTCTTCTGTGGTGAATCCCTATGAAGCTGAATATGCACTTCGAGAGGTGCATGAAGGTGTCTGTGGAAGTCATGTCGGTGCTAGGACTTTGGCTCACAAAGTCTTAAGGCAAGGATATTACTGGCCAAACATGCATAAAGATGCCACTTACTTTGTTCAGAAATGCCGGAAATGTCAATTCTTTGCACATCTGACTCACCAACCAGCAAAGGAGCTCACGAACTTGGTAGCACCATGGCCATTTGCTCAGTGGGGACTAGATCTTTTAGGCCAGTTCATGAAAGGGGTCGGTGGTGTAACCCATTTGGTTGTTGGTGTGGATTATTTTACAAAGTGGGTTGAAGCTCGGCCTTTATCTAGTCTTACTTCCAAGAAGGTCGAAGATTTTGTTTTCAGCTTGATTATCTACAGATATGGGATCTCGAATCAGATTGTGGCCGATAATGGAACTCAATTCAATTGCTCCTCATTCCGAGATTTCTATTCCAGTTATGGGATCAAGTTACAATTCACCTCCGTTTATCATCCAGAGTCCAATGGTATGGTTGAATCTGTTAACAAATGCATTTTGGAAGGTATAAGGCCGAGATTGGAACAGCATAAGGCCAAGTGGGCAGACGAGCTCAACAACATCCTTTGGGCATACAGAACCACGAGCCGAACTGCCACAGATACCACTTTAAACCAAGTCTATTTGATTAATTTCTATATTATTTTACTTATTCTATTACGCTTTACCTTAGAGCAAATATGCATAATGCATAAAGCGCATTCTAAACCTATACCTAACTGAAATAGGTGAAACACCCTACCACTTGGCCTTTGGCACCGAAGCAGTCATTCCCGTTGAAATAAGAGTCCCAAGCTTCCGGGTCACCCATTTTGATGAAGGACGAAATGGACAACTGCTTCGGGCAAACCTTGATCTGTTTGTCGAAGTCAGAGAAGAAGCTCGGCTTCGAACTCTTGTATACAAGCAGAAACTAGCCAACTTCTACAATAAACGGGTCCGCCCTCGAACATTCAAAATAGGAGACCTTGTTCTTAGAAAAGCTGGCCTAACAGTGTTTGAAACTTGTTTTGGCAAACTCGCCCCGAATTGGGAAGGCCCTTATGCCGTGGCCGGGGTGCTACATCCTGGTGCCTATGTCCTCCAAGACGCTGAAGGAAAGAGAGTTCCTAGAGTCTGGAATGTCAATAACTTGAAGAAATTTTACCCCTAATAAAATTCTTTCAAGTGATTTATGTCTTACTGTTCTTTACGCTTCTCACTTCGTGTTTGTTGAGATTCATTTTACTTCTTATTCTATGTACCCGAGGTCAATTAGTTCTTTCATTCCTTGAAACCTCACCTCTGATTAATAAATGTCACTTCACATATGAAGTGCTTTATTTCCTTTTAATTCATTTGCCAACAATGTCCTTGTTCTCAATTTATCTGAAGTGATTTACTTCTTTGTAATTCGTCTGAAGTGATTTACTTCCATTTTGTTTATTTCTGAAGTGGTTAGCCTTCTTTCAAATCATGTCTCAAGTACTCTCATTCTTCTATTAATAAAAAATAACAAAAATATAAACCAAACATAAACAAACATATAATTTCATTTAACAAAATAACAGTGTTACAAACTGTCTAAATGTTTTTACAAAAAATTAAAGAATAAAATTATTTCTCTGCTGGGAGAGGTGGCTCCACTAGCTCCTGCTCAGCTGGAGAAGGTGGTTGTGTTGGCTGCTGCTCGTCTGGAAGAGGAGGCTGCTCATCGTCGGAGGGAACTGGATGAATCTCCACTTCTGGAACTGGTTGGCTCTCATCCACTTCAGCTCCCTCCACTCCTGCCTCCATCTCGTCTTCCTCTACCTCTGCCCCTTCTTCCCCCACTGCAACGAACTCGAAGTCGAACTGTGGAGGGAAAACAGCACGTCCGTTTGCATCATGCTCCCACCTCAGTTTGATCTGAGGACGGAAGTCTGTTGACATGCTTTCACCGTCTTCCTCCACTCCTTCTTCTTGCTCTCCGAAGGTGATCTTCGTAATATCCACTTTGGGATATTCTGCCTTCACCTTCTTCCTACAGTCCGTGAATGCAATGATGGCAGTGGGCAGCCGATATAAGTTGATGATGTTGTCAAACGAGCTGGAGCTGATGAAGTTGCTGATGTGCTCCTTCATTCCATTATGCACCAAGGTCTGCACATTCTCCTTCAGCTCCAAGAAAGCCTCCTTCGTCAGCTTTAGTTCTTGCGCTTCAGCTTCACGCTCGCTTTCAGAGATCCTTCGTTTGCTCTCCTCAAAGATGAGCTTGGTGCTAAGGGAAGCCTTCTCCTGCTCCAATTGCTTCACAGTTGGAACCACCTCGTTCAGCGACTCTTGCAGTTCTTTGTTTCTCTTCTCCAACTCCTCCTTCTCCTTCTGCAGCTGGTCACATTGCCTCTGCAAGAGTGAGCGCTCCTTCAGGCTCTCCCTCAATTCCTGGGCTAGACCATTCACCCAGCTCGCGCTCTGCAGATCAAAGCCGAGGTTAAGACAGAACGAAGAGAAGGCAAAACAGATTCACTAAACAACATCAATACTTTAACATACCTCTAGAACGTGCTTCACCATGGACGCTCCACCATACCTCAGAGCTTCCTCCCACGCGTTGCATCTGTCCACTTCGGGGAAGGTGTTGTTGATGAACCACCTAACCCCCGTTATGTTCTTCGCCTCGAACAGGCTGCTCTAAGGCCCTAGTGGGGGAACAGGGCCCTTTCCCTTACCAGGAGCTCGTACCTCCGCCCCCTCTTCCAACTGTCTGAGCTCAGGGTCCAGCTTAACAAGAGAAGGCCAAGGTATGAACAGAGGGACCTCATTCCCCGTCTCCTCCTCCATCACCTTCTGCTTCTTCTGCAGTACCCTCTTCTCCTCCCACCCCTTCCTCTTCAACTGTGGCACCTCTTCCTCCGCCTCAGCTGAAGTCGTGGGCACTACCTCCTTCCTCGCCCTCCCCTCATCCACTTGCTTGGTTGAAGTCTTTGACTTCTTCCTTGGCTTCTTGGGGATGGCCGCTCCTCCAACAGTGTTTAAAAACTGGTCCATTTCAGCTGCAAAGCAAGAATACACAATATTAATCACCGTTCTATATTTTGCATTCAGTACTACAATGCAAAATCAAACCAACCTTCACTCAAAGCGCTTGGCCCATAGAGCTCAGCAGCTTCTATGCATTGTGCGCTGGTGAGGTCCATTATGTTAAGTAAATCCCCCCTCTTCCTCACCAACCTCCTCACTTCTTCCTCCTCATCCTCATTCAAACTAAACCTATTCTGGTTGACCCTTTTAGCCTTCCAGGAGGCTAGCTTCCTCACCTCGGCATCTCTTCTCCCCCACTCCGTATCATCCGCAAAAAAGAATTTTTCCTTCCATCCTTTAATGGATGAAGGACCCGTTGTGAATAAAGACCTACTCTCCCTATTGGCTACCCTTGGGGTAAAATAATACCACCCCTTATCCCTCCTACTACCCCCCTTTAAAACAAAAAAATACTTAAACATATTTACAGTTGGCACACTAATCCCCTGAGCTCGGCAATAGACTAAAAATTCTATTATTACCCTCACCGCATTGGGGACTAATTGTGTCAACCCTATATTGTAATCCAATAACAATCCTACCAGCAACTCAGGAATTGGAAACCTCAATCCCGCCATTAGATAGTGAGAATATATGGGCATCCAATGGTCCTGAGGAGCAGAACACGCTCTTTCCTCTACCCCAGCTGGCCTAACCAGCACTCGAGAAGAGATCTTGTAATTTTCCACTAAGTGACCCAGGCTATCCCTGGTCTTTAGTTCAGACCTATACTACTGCACCTCTTCCACTATCTCGGCGTTCACATCATAATCCCTCTCGCCTCTACCCTATACTTCTACTACGGTTATGGGTATGCTACCTCTTCCAACCCCTACCACCTCATTACCCCCAACCTCTACTACCTCTTCCTCCCCTACCTCTATCACCTCATCCCCTCTCACCCCCTCCACCGTTTTCTCCGAACTAGAAAGAGAAGGACTACTCTCTGAGTCCATGCTCCCATAGTCCAGAGGCATCACCTCACTCCCTACTATACTTTGTGTTCTTTCTGACTACATTTTCTCAAACTCTGCACGAAGTAGGGGGGAGGAATAAATCAGGATCCCAAAAAAAACAAAAAAACCCCTTTTGTTGCACATTCAAAATCCTCCTCACCTCTAACCCTAACTTCCTTCAAAGGATTTTAAATCAATCATAGAAAGGGAGAAAGGAGAGAGACACTTCGATTAAACTCAAAATCAGAGGTTCGTCATACATTACCTGATTTTGGTTTCGAAAGGCTTGATGTAGAGGTCCCCAGTTGATGCCGCAGTTCACGAACAGGAAACGCACAGTAAAGCTTTTCGCAGAAGTTTTGCAGGAAAAGAAATTCGAGTAAACCTCTCTCTGTAGAAAAAATGTCTATTTATACTTTTGGGCAAAATTAGATCTCAACGGCTGAGATTCGTTTAATCTTACAGTTCCTATTAACACCGTTTGGAATTCAACGGCCAACCCCAAATGGCACCGTTTTGAATTCGACGGTTCATTTTTTAAAATTTGCCCGTTTACCTGTTGCAGTTATCTTTTTACAGCTGCATTTATTGCACACGTCATCCTAAGGACAACTGTCAGATTTTTCAGACGGGCCCACTTACGCCCATTTCAACATCTTCGTTCACTTCACATTTTCAATTTTTGCAAGTGTTTCACCTCGGCTCCGGCCACAACGATCCTGCATTACATGTTTCACATCGACCTCGGTCATTATATTTTATTATTACGGCTCTGGCCATTATAACCCCCATCTCTACACCTAAGCCTAACTCAACAGTTCTGTTTATTTTTATATTACACTTTTTAACCTGCAAAATGTTTCACTTCGGTTATGGCCACAGTGACTTAATGCAACATGCTTCACTCCGGCTCCGGCCATAGAGACATGTGCTTTACTTCGGCTCTGGTTACTGTGATTACATGTCACATATTCTACCACGGCTCCGGCCATTATGACTGCGGTCATCATTCTTTATCACGGCTCCGGCCATTATGACTCCGGTCATCATTTTTTATCATGGCTCCGGCCACCATGACTTCGGTCATCATCCCTTACTATGGCAATGGCCACATTGACTCCGGTCATTATTTTTACCATTTCTACGGCCACGATCATTCTGGTCACACTCTCTTCTTATCGCACACGGCTATGTATGCATGTGAGTTACAAATTTTATTTCCTCCTTTTACTTCTATGATTTATCTGTAATTCTCTTTGTTTATGTACTCCCCTCATTCTTCCCCAACAACATCATTCACAAGTGAATGACTTCGGGGGGGAATAGTGTAAGGACAGGTCCGAGGTGCCAAGCCTCGGACTGCTACAGTAATTCCTTTATGACTGAAGTGAAGGATAAACCCAGAGCTTCCCACTCAAATAGCTGCATGACAGTAACAATGAGCAAGCCCGCACCCGATTCCTTATGATGAGCTACACAGCGGTTATGATAGGCATTCTCCCATCGGAATATCTCTCAATTTCCCGGTCCCGAAATAACCGTTTCGAGATACACATCAGATCTCGAATATTTTGCTTGGCATGCCACGTGGGTTCCTTATTGGATCCTATAAATACCCCCCCCGGGCCACGTAAAAAGGTAATTGAAACCAACCCTAAGCTCTTTTTATCTCCGCCCTAAAGGTAGTCCCGATTATTGTTGACTTAAGCATCGGAGTGTCTACCCCAAGTTCCACCTTGGGGCTTTGCAGGTCATCCTGGAGTGCAGGCGCGGACTGAAGAAGGACTTTTGGTTTGGTGCAATTACAAGCTGCTGTTTGAATTTTCCTGTGTTGTCCGAAAATTTGCCGGAAATGGGGATGAATTCCGATAGAATTTAGCAGTATTTTAAATGTGTTTTTGTGCTTGGTTTATGTAGAATTAGCTTAATTTGGCTGCTGTGAATTTTATAGAGAAAATCCCGTGAAATTAGCTAGTGTTTTGCCCAAATTTTTGTAGTTATCGTCACTGTTCACTGCGGATCATTGTTCACGGGTGCTGTCCATGGGTACTGTTCATGGGCACTGTTCATACACCGAGAGTCAACTATTCACGAGGATTTAAATGTTTAGTTTGTGATATAAGAATAAATTTGGAGAGGTCTGGTCATGTGGAGATTGATAGGAATAGCACTGTGATTAGGGGTAGTGCTAATGATGATTTCACTTTGAATTTATGGTAGTGCGATATTTATTGTGGAATATTGTAATTAGGTTTTGATCGTTCTATCACCGTAGCACTTGGGTTAGCCTTTTGTTCTGTGCGATTAAGGTAAGTAAATTTATGGTAAAACCCTTCAATTTTAAAGCATGTTTTAAATTGTTTTTGAAATGGTGGCAAGGTTTAAATTGATTTTATTGCACCGAGCATGAATGGTTTGAAATGAAAATTGTGATGATTTTTATGAAAATGAGAATTTCATTGTTTTTCTGGAATTGAGCATGATTGGAATGAAAATGAGGATTTCATCGTTTTACTGGAATTAAGCATGATTAGAATGAAAAATGAGAATTTCATTGTTTTTCTGGAGTGGAGCATGCCTATTTGGAATTGACTGAACTGCTTTGATGAACTGAGAATTTTGGTAAATTCTGAGTTTTCTGTTAAATCCATGTTCGCATGGACTTTCCTGGTTATTTATGAAATTTGAGATTGATTGTGAATTTCGGGTTTTTCTGTAAATCCTGCATGGTTGTCTCTGATATGGTCATGTTTACTGTGCCCACTAGTGGGAGGTTTATAAACGCTAGCACATGTTGACATGTATTTCTGTAGAATCGGTTCATCCTGCCAATGGGATAATACATTGGTAATTACTGACGCTTGCCAATGGGAGTTTGTTAAACATTGGTACTATCGACGCCTGCCAATGGGCGAATACATTGGTAATTATTGACGTCTGCTAGTGAGAGTTGTAAACACTGGTACCATTACTGACGCCTGCCAGTGGGAGTTTGTTAAACATTGGTACTTCTGTAACCTTGCTAATGGGGTTAAACATTGGTAACTACTGTGCCCGCTAGCGGGAGGTTTATAAACGCTGGCCATTAACTATAGATGAGACTACTGATGAGTTTTATTTTGCATGAGCGGTTTGTCATTGAATGATTTGTTATTGAATTGAATCTGATTTTGCATTGACGATTTGTCATTGAATGCTTTGCAATTGAACTGAATTTGATTCTACATTAATGGTTTATCATTGAGCGTTTTTGTTATGTTAAACTGTTTATCTGGCATGCTTAAATTTTTACCAAGGGCTAATCTATATTTACTTACTGGGTTATCTCATAGTTTTCCTTGTCCACCATTTCAGGAAGCGAAACCGAGGACAGGGAAACCAAGGGGAGTGACGAGTTAAAAGGCTAGCCACCTGTAATTTGATATGGATTTTAGATATAGATGATGATATTGTAAGCTAGATTGTAATTGGAGGTTTTATAACTTCAGTTAATGGATTGTTAGTTTACAAGAGATTTGACCTGGAGATTTTGAGGTTCAGTCGTGTTGGACATAGAATTAATTTTGAGATATCCGATCTAAGTTAATGGATTGTCAGATGTGAATTGGATAAGTTTTGAGCCTTGTGCATTCGTGGGACCCATTCACGAGTGCACGGCGTCTGCCACATCCTCGAATTTGGGTTATGGGGCGTGACAATAATCCATTGATGGGTTCATTGATTTTGTGTCAAAATTAGTTTTTGGTAGATAATCATGTGTGAATTGGACTTGTTATTGGTATAATTTAAATTATTGATTTTTGTTGTTGTTATTATTATTATTATTCTGGGAGCAGGATCAATTGGGAGATGTTTTGCATTGGATTCGGCAAGTGGTAACTCTTGTATGCGGTTTGCTATAGGGTGCAATACCTTTGGTTGGGTATTGACGAACCGAGCACAGCCGTGCTGGGTATCAACAAAACCTAGCAGACCTAGTTGTTCAATGAAATCTAGCTTTGTTGATTTACAATTTTATTGTATTTTTGTTAAAATTTGATTAGGGTTTGATTGATATTGTTTATTGAGGAATTAATTTGATGGAGTGGAGATAAAAGAGCATTAAGAGAAGAAGAAGAAATGGGTTAAGATCAATTTTGCAAATGAAGTGGAGATGAGAGAGCATTATAGAGTTTTTTTTTTTTTTGCAGGTAATGTGGGACCCATTTAAGAGACTTTAAAGCGTTTAAATATGACATGGCATTATGTCTTGGCATTATGTTTTGTCCACGTCAGCACCGTTTTAAGTTGTGCTCACCATGTCATAAAAAAAATATAAAAAATGCCACGTAGACAGAGTTAACGGTCTAAATTGATGGAAGGACTAACGTTGAGCATTTTTTAGAGTTGAGGGATAAAAAAAGTGCAAAAAATTGTTGAGGGACCAAAAAAATGCAACTCTACAAAGTTGAGGAACCAAATTTAGCATTGAGCCTATAATTTAAACTAGAACTAAGTTCATTCTTATTTACTTTGCACGCAAGGAGCTCAGTTTACTTGCAACTAGACCTTGCCACTAGCTACACTTAGTTACTTCTTAGGAGTATAACGAAACACATACAAAAAAGAAGAGAAGAAAATTTCCTAAAATCACAAATGAAAGCAAAAAAGCACTTTTTATTTATGTATCTCAGTGTAAAGTTTGATGCTTTTACTTCCCCAAGTGTTTCTCCAAAAAAACTAAATTCCATGTTTTATCAAACATTCACTACTAGAATTAGGGACTTATTCGGTCAAGCATATTGACCGAATAAGTAGGAATTTTGACCGAACAAGAAATAATTGATCAAATTATTTGATCGAATTGTTGATATGAATATCTACTGTACAAAATAATAATTTGAAAAAAATTTCATCTTGACAACAAATGTTGGACAATTTTAGTCAAAAAATTTGACTAAAAATGTTATTACAAAATCTTTAATTTTAGACTAATTCAATCAAAATATTTGACCAAAAATGTTATTAGAAAATCATTTATTTTAGACTAACCTCAATCAAAATATTTGACAAAAACATTATTTTCAAATTAAAAAAAAGTAATATATTTGTGTAATTATAGTGTACATATAATTACTATTTTATATAATTACAAAATATATTTAATTAATATTTAAAAACCTATTTATTTTATCTCAATCCAAATATATCAAAATTTTAAATTGAATATTATATAACAAAAATTAAAATTCTATAAAAAAATATTTAAATTTGAGCTAAATGGTGGAGACTTAATTACTAATTTTTTTTTTAATTTCTCCATCACTTAACACCAAGAAAGAGTTGATCACAAATTGCAAACTAAATGGGAAATTTAACGAAAAAGAAAAACTATAAAATTCTAATGAA